GCGCTTTTGTTGGGTCACGCCTCAGAGAAACTGATAATGTCAGCAGTGTTTTGCCAGGGCAACCAGACCTACAACTTAGGGTGTATGTTCTTGGAAATCAACTTTCCTGCCCCACTTAATAGTCCATTCTTTGACTTTAGAACTAACGGGGATTCTATGACTCTTTGTTCTTCCTGCAGGAATGGCCTTTGCTCTGCTCACTTCAGTGGCTCCAATCTATGGGCTCTACACTTCATTCTTCCCAGCCTTGTTGTATCTGCTTTTTGGAACAGGACGTCATGTGTCTACAGGTAAGTGACCCAGGTCACTTCCAGATGACCAACTTTCTGTCTCCTAATTCTTTGGAATCCTGTTTAAACTGCCTTCCCCAAATTGATCTGGAATGCTTTGATTGTTTACAAATCCATTCAGGTATTCGGATATGATAGGCAGTTAATGTTTCTGGACAGCCATAGACTTTCTAGAGTTGAAATAACAGTGCCTACTTCTGTCTTCTGGGATCTGTATCTGAACACAGGTCTCTTCCTTATGTTCCAAATACATTTAGCGCTGTGTGTGTGTGTGTGTGTGTGTGTGTGTATGTGTGCATGAGAGAGGGAGAGGGAGAGAAAGAGAGAGAAATAAATAATTTCATACCCCTGCCCATTTCAATTACAAGGCATCAAGATGCTGCTTCTGAAGCTACTGTCAAGAATGAAACTTTGGCAGCTACGCTTTGTTTCAACTTGCCATTAGAGTAAGGGGAGGGGAGGTGTTGCTTTAGAATGGATTAGATGGAGAAATGAAACCTCTATGATTCCGCTGAAGACCGTGAGAGCCTGAAACCTTTCCAAGGACATTGTAGCAGGTGTGGAGTTGAAGCAGATGGTTCCCATAACAAAATGAAATTCTTTACATGGATTACGTGAGAGATTGAGAAGGGAAATTATTGTTTAAGTCTGTGAGCCGGTGTTTGGGAACCTCAAAGTTAGTTTTGCTTCGACATGCAGTGCAGTGTATTCCATAAACAGTAAGATTTTTGGAGACGGAATGAATGAATGGAGTTTTATTTGGAATCTCGAACTGGCTGTTGACAGCTACATTTACTGTCATGATATGATATTTCCAGAGGTACCTCGTGGCCATCACATTATCTCAAATTGCTTGTACATGCATGCTTCTGGCTAAACAGATAACTGATAAACAGGAAGTTCACCTTAGGGACGCACATTCCCCTAGAAGACTTTCTGTCAGGATTCAGTAATTGTCTGTGGTTTCTGGTTGGGGAAATGCTCTTTGGGGTGCTTCTTGATGTAATATTTTACAGACCTACACTCATAACATATTATTATGTATATTATGCTCAGGTTAATTTTATTGCTGCTTTAAATGAACTTAAAATGTGAAACCTTTCTGAAGCGCTGGATTGAGTGTTGAGTTATGGTGGATGCTCAGGTCAAGTCCTGCATGACATTGCAAAAGTGTCGAGTTTTTATTGTCCATTTCCTTGATTTATTCAAAGAATATTATTCTTTGAGTTCTCCAACCTCTTCTTATACTTTCCTTTCTTATCTCAGAAATAAGGAAGAGAAAAATAGGAATGTCTTTTAATTAGTACTGGGAATTCTCCTTTTGGATATTATTCATACATACTGTATCAGCTTTTCTTCAAGGCCCAGTGTGTTGTTCAAACCATGGGTAACTTCTACTGCTAAAGTAACTCCTATTGCTCTTGGTCCTGCAATGTGTCAAAGAGTGTTACATAATAGAGTAGGGAGAGGAAAATTGCCATCTTTCACCTGTTTTGGACTCCAGTTCCCATAAGACCCCAATTCCTCGCTCTTACATTTGGAATTGGGGGTATTTAACCAGGAGATTAAAACCTTGTCTTCCTACTTCATCCTTTTCCCACTCTACAGGCACATTTGCTGTGGTCAGTCTGATGACGGGCTCCGTGGTGGAGCGCTTGGTCCCCATCCCCCAGCATTCCAATGGCACAGGTCCTGCTGAGGTCCCCTTGTTGGAGAGACAACGCATTGAGGTAGCTGCTGCAGTGGCCTTTTTCATGGGGCTCCTCATGGTGAGTTCCAGGGGATGCTGTAACTTCATCTGGTCTGTGCAGATGGGTCCAGCGGGGAGGCCCTGTATGACACAAACAAGTGATTGTGTTATCATGCTGTGGGAATATTAGGTTGACAAATTAGAAGTTATTTCTAAACTTGAGCCTTTAGTTTTGTCCACTTAATTAAACTGTATGCATGCATGCATGCATGCATGTAGAAGATATTATATATTATTGTAAGATATTATATGTATATATAATATCTTCTCATATGTAAGAGTTTCAGTGATAAATAATAATAAATAATTATGCATTATTAATAAGGAATTGTGAAGCAATATAAATGTAACTTGACATGTTTCATATATTGTTTGATAATATTTGAAAATATTGAATTGCAATTTTTCTTTTATTGCTTTTGTTTTAATTTTTCTTAAGTTTAACAAGCAAACCAGTACTAATAAAATACTTTACAGTATTTTAAATTTTTTAAACGTCCCTATGCAGTTTTCCTACTTATCTGTTTTATAGTGTTTATTTAGTGTGATAACAGTGAGGCCAAGCAATCCCTAAAGATCAATTAAGGTTACTGTCCAGAACTTTCAGTTCAGCAATGTGGTGTGTGTGTGTGTGTGTGTGTNCTGATCAGTTCTGGAGAACCGGTAGCAGAAGTTTTGAGTAGTTCTGAGAACCAGTAAATACCACCTCTGACTGGCCTCGCCCCATCTATTCTCTGTCTCCCAAGTCCCAGCTGGTCAGGAGGAAATGGGGATTTTGCAGTATCCTTCCCCTGGAGTGGAGAGGGAAAGGAGATTTTACAATATCCTTTCCCTGCCACACCCACCAAGCCACGCTCACCAAGCCACGCCATGCCCACCAAGCCACGCCACGCCCACAGAACCAGTAGTAAAAAAAAATTGAATCCCACCACTGTACTGGACATACTGCCAGCACTGCCATTCTGTTGCAATATTTTGCAGCACTTGCCCAAGAGAAACACAAGTTACGTAAAACTTGATCTTCTTTTTAAAGATATATATGCTAGCTCTAGCTGACATAGGAAAAAAATATTGTTAACTCAGTTCAGTATTCATCCCTAACATACTTAATAAATTCAGGTTGCCCTATTGCGGCAAAATATATTTGAGAGATAAATATACTTGGAGACACTTGATTTTTTCAGATCTCCAGATATTAACAGCTGCGATCAATTTGACAATGGTGTTGTTGGCTTTTTCAAAATAAAGATGTTGCGGATAGCACTTATTTTAATTATGTTATTTATTTGACTTCTTGCGATAGGTACTGCTGGCCACGGGAATCTGTTTTGCTTCCTCTCTGAATACCCACTATAATGTACAGATCGTTGGGCACCTCCCAGCTGGGTAAGTTCCTTCTCTATCTCCATTTTGCACATTTTGCGCATTGGCTAGAGGCAAGGGCACTGCTACTCTATTGGCATGGCATTGAAAATGCAATTTCCTGTCTTAGCCTGATGCTCTGGATTGGACCATACAGGGTGGGGGGTGGGGAAGGGGCTTCAGTTTTGCCCTGGATATGGATGATGGGGAGGGGCAATGAGTGATCTCTTTTGTAGCACACAATGTTTCCCATCCCACCATTCTTTCATGCAGGTTCCCACAGCCCCAGCTCCCAGCTCTGCATCTGCTGCCCCAAGTGTTGGGGGACACGGTGGCCCTCGCTTTCGTGGCCTATGCCATCTCAGTGTCCCTGGCCATGATCTACGCCGAGAAGTACCACTATGTTATTGATCCCAACCAGGTGTGTGTCCATCCTGAGAACCTGGGTCTCCTCAAAAAGGGAGAAATTGATACTTCCGGTCCAAGAGTCTGCCTAGCTGCCCATCCCTTTATGCTTGTCAACCTATTTTAACTCCTTGTATCCTGAATGATGCGGTGGCTCAGTGGCTAAGACGCTGAGCTTGTCGGTCAGGAGGTTGGCAGTTTAGTGGCTCCAATCCCTAGCACCACGTAATGGAATGAGCTCCCGTTACTTGTCCCAGCTTCTGCCAGCCTAGCAGTTCGAAAGCATATAAAAAATGCAAGTAGAAAAATAGGAACCACCTTTGCTGGGAAGGTAACAGTGCGCCATGCGTCTTTGGCACTTAGTCATGCCGGCCACAAGACCACGGAGAC